GAGAGTTGGTAAATCTTCTGTGAACCATTCTTCTGTACATATGGTTTAAATCACCCGGTAACTACATTGGAAGACTACCTTGTCAGGGGATCCAAATTTCTAGACATACCGATAACACTAAACTAGACCATATGACTTTCTTGGGGGCACTAATTAAATGTTGTTTAGAACTCAAACAAACGCAGCCAGAAATCATCAGGACAAATTATTTCAGTAAAACAGATTACCAATACACGAAATAAATCAAAATTCCAGTTCACCAGTTTCCCAAATTTATAAATAAATTAAGTCCACGAACAAAATCAGGTTAATAAACATAAACAGCACAAAAGCCAGATGACAAATGAACAATTTTTCAGATCAAGTACTTCAACGAAACAGAGTACATAATATATCACAATTCTCGTTTACCAATTTCTAAAGAGACACATAAATTCACTCGACTATGATTTTCTTTCGTGAATTAACCAACAGAAAATTGAAAAATTCTCCAAAGAACAACTGAATTATGCAGAAACATGAAAATTAATTACTAAAATAGTAAAATAGCACGCATGCATATAGAGTGCGATGCATTTCTTAACTTTATACGAACCTACTGAGGAGGAGGCGATGGCAGAGCCACATCCAAAGGTCTTGAAGACCGCATCTACGATTTTTCCGGTCCCATTATCTACTTTAATCTGGAGCTTCATGACGTCACCGCAAGCCGGAGCTCCGACCAGACCCGTTCCAACATCCTCCTCGTTCTTTTCGAATGAACCGACGTTCCTAGGGTGGTTGTAGTGGTCAACCACCCTCTCATGGTACATCCGAGGCAGGCCAGCACCACCAACTGCCGCCGGGTTCGGCGTCGCAGGGACTCGCAGCGCCTGACCTAGAATTCTGTTCGTTACGTGCCTCAGCATTTTTTATCAATTGAAAGTGAATTGACGAGTGGAATTTGATGATCAATTTATAGGGGTTTAAGAGAGAGAAAGAAAGGCGGTTTGAAGGGGACAGGTGGAGCTTTTACCAAGTTGTTTGGAATATGATTCTTTGAGGATAAATATGGAGAAAGTTGAATACAAGTTTACATATCTGTGAGATAATTTGGTAAATGCAGTAATATGATTGGACGAGACTTAACAGGTTGTTCTTATAGTCTGAGTAGCTAGCCCTCATGCCTCCATTAAATTTTAATTTATAGTCCTCCCCAGCGTGAGGTTTCTCTCTCATCCTCCAGTGGAGTTGTCCGCCCTTCCGCCGATGAAGGTTGTTTTTCTTGGTTTCCCGTGGGTTCGTCGAGGGGAGGGGGGGAGCTTCGGCTCCCCCTCCTTTTTCCCCTTCTTTATTTTTTCTCCTTTTTTTCCGATCTGTTCGCAGTGTTGCCCGGAGTTTCGCCTTTTTGCTGTTGTGGTTGGTGCGTGCTGGCGATGTTCGGGCGAGGTCGGTGGTGTGGCTGGCTGAGCTTTTGGTGGTGGTGCTTGTGTGGGCTCTGGTTTGGGGAGTTGCGGCGAGCGGGGAGTGGCCGGTTCTGGGGTGGCCTTGGTCGAGAGTGTTCTCTTCCAGTGGGAGCTGACGGGAGGGCTGCTGCAGATGAAGCTTAGCCGGCGGCCCTTTTTGGGC